TCCTACTTCCGTAGTGATACTGCCTCGGAAACCCAAGGAGGGGTTGCTATGAGTCGGGTTTGACTCGACGGCACATAACAACAACAACAACAACAATATTTGCTTGATTGTACATCTGTCCATATATTCATCCCTCAAACTACTCATCAATCTCTCTTGCTTTTTAATGCAATCAAAGCACTGCAGCATGAATATTATTAACTAAAGTGCAGTATTTGTTTAAAGTTCCTTCATGCTGCTTCACAGTCAGTTTCTGCATTCACCCACCCAGAAGCAACCATCATTCTGTGTTTTTTTTTTTCTTCACACCTTAATTTTACTTCTTTTAGAACTTCATACAAATAGAATTATACAATGGGTCCACTCTTTCTAAGGTTTCTGTCAGCAAAGTGTTTTTGAGATCCATCTGTTATTGTATGTTCAGTAGTTTGGTTCGTTATTTTTTAGTCCATTGTGAAGATGCCCTGGTGGCACAATAGTGAAAATGCTCAACTGCTAACCTGAAAGATCGATGGTTCAAACCCACCAGCAATGTGGCAGTCTGCTCCTGTAAAGGTTTATAGCCTTGGAAAACCTATGGGGCAACCCTACCCTGTTCTATAGGGTCACTATGAGTCAGAATCAATTCAACAGCAATGGGTTTGGTTTTTGGTTTGGAATCCATGTGTGAATACACCACAGGTATTTTTTTTAATCCATTCTTCTGTTCATGGGCATCTTGGCTTTTCCCAGTTACTGGCTATCATGAATAAACTGACTATGAACACTTTTGTGCAAGTCGGGAGACAACATGGACTTTGTCCAGTAGTTCCCAGGGAAGATTTTAGAAGCTTTTCAGGACAGTTACATAGAACTTGCCCCTCTAATTTCCCTATACTGCAAGTCTTGTTGAGGGCATGCATTTTCATTTCTCTGATATAGATACCTAGCAGTGGAAATGCTGGGTCCAAGGAAAAGTATTTTGTTTATAAAAACTGGCAGACCCTCTTCCACAGCGTATCTTTTTATACTCCCAATGACGACGTGTAATGGTTCAGGTTGCTCTGCATCCTCAACAACAATTGATGATTGTCAGTATTTTAATTTTAGCCATTTTGCTGTTTGTATGTAAAGGTATTGCTGGTTTTAACGAGTATTTCTCTGATGACTATTGCTATTGAGTAGCTTTCTGTGCCCCTGTCATTCAGGTATCTTTTTTGGTGAAATGTCTTTTCAAATCTTTTGCCCATTTTTTATTAGGTAACCTTTTTTATCATTGAATTTGAAGAGTTTTTGATATATTCTAGATACAAGTCCTTATCCATTTTTTTGCAAATATTTTCTTAGTTTTTGGCTTTCCTGTTCACTCTCTCAATAGTGTCTTTGATGAGCAGAGTTTTTTGTTGTTGTTTTCGATGAAGTCTAATTTACCAAATTTCTATTTTGGGGATACTGTTTCTGGATCCTATCTAATTAACTTGTAATTATGAAGATACTCACCTATGTTTTCTCATAGAAGCTTTATTGTTTTAGTTTTTACATTTACATATATGATCTGTCTCAAACTAATTTCTGTATATGATATAAAGTGAGGATTCAATATATATTATTTTTCCAAATGGCTGTCCAGTTATACCAGGACCATTTATTTTTTAAAAAAGGCCTTCCTTTGCATTGCTTTGTGCCTTGCCAAACATCAAATGACTTTTTTAAATGTGAGTCTATTTCTGGGCTCTCTGTTCTGTTACATTCATCTATACGTCTATCCTTATATCCATACCCACCATCTTGATTATGGTAGATTTACAGTAAGTCTTGAAGTCAGATAGTGTACTTAGCCAACTTGGTTCTTCTTTTAAAAGGTTGCTTTGGATATTTTACACTCTTTGCATTTCCATGTAAATTTTAGAATCAGCTTGTACCTTCTACTCAAAAAGGTCACGCAGAGACTTGTACACCAGTGTTCATTGCAGCACTGTTCACAATAGCCAAAAGGCAGAAACAATCTAAATGCCCAACAACAGATGAATAGATCAACAAAGTGTGGCACATTCATGCAATGATATACTACTCAACCAGCAGGAGAAATAGTCTTGATAAATGCCACAGTATAGATAGAGCTAGAGGAAATTATGCTCAGTGAGATAAGTCAATCACAAAAGGACAAATACTGTATAATCTCACTTATATAAAAAGACAAGAAAAGGCAAAAATGTATAGAGACCAAAGTTTATTAGTGGTTACCAGGGGTGGGAGGAAGAGAGAATATGGGGTTAACAGTTCTTTGGTTACTTAGTGCTGCTCTGACGGGAATTTACCACAAATGGGATGGCTTTAATAAACAGGAGTTTATTCCTTTTCAGTTTTGGAGGTTAGAAGTTCAACTTCCAGGTGTCAGGCTCTAGGGGCTGGGTGAAAGCCCCTCAACCTTGGGCTTTAGCTCTGCCTCTTGCTCCCTGCCCACTGAAGCTACAGGCATCTCTTCACTCAGACAACTGCTAGCTGCTGAGGCTGACAAACCCAAGGTCAGCAAGTGAAAAGGCCCAGCCCCGATATTACCAAACCACATCACAGGCCATTGATTCAAGTTCATTGAAAGTCCCAAGATCGACAGAGCATGGCAGGCTGCTGAACACCAACTCAGCTACATGCAGGGTTCAAGCATGCCTTAAGCAGGAGACCTTCCTCAAAGTTGCTGCTTATATACTGGAAGCAGACCACATCTCTAAAGCAGCTATTCAGCTGCTCCAGTAGATTCCACCATGGAGTTAATTACCAATCTCACCATGGGGGAATAACTACATCCAGCTGCCCAGCCACTCAACCAAGCCCAGCCAAGTTGACATACAACCTTAACTACCACAATGGTGATAGTTATTTTAGTGTACTGATTAAGGGTAATGTTATATAAATGCTTATTGTAATTATTGTCAATAAGTAATATGAAAAGTTGATTTGGAAAAAGAGTGATAGATACAGTTACAGCAGTGACAAGTGAAAAGAGTAGCTGCTGAGGCTGCTTATGTATAACCAAACACCTCGTGGGATTTGGTTCCTTGGTTTGGAAGTTTAGGGCTACGGTTTCATGGGACAACCCAGTTAATTAGCCTAATGTGTTTAGTGCTTCTGTTCTACCTTCTAATTCATTGCTTAGTACCTGTTTTGGTTACCTAGTACTGCTCTAACAAGAATATACCACAAAGGGAATAGCTTGAACAAACAGGAGTTTATTCTTTTATAATTTTGGAGGCTTTAAGTCTGATTTCAGAGTGCCAGGCTCTAGGGGCTGGTGAAAGCCCCTCAACCTTGGGCTTCAGCTCTGCCTCCTGCCCCCGGCCCACTGAAGCTAGAGGCTTTTCTTCACTCAGATAGCTGCTGGCTGCTGAGGCTGACAAGCCCAAGGTTGACAAGTAAAAGGACACAGTCCTGACACTACCAAACCACACAGCAGGCTGCTGCAGGGTTCAAGTGTGCCTGTGGTGGTTATGTTTTTGTGTCAACTTGGCTGGGCCTGGTTGAGTGGCTGGGCAGCTGGTGGTAGTTATTCCCCATGATGAATCTGGCAATCAGCTCCATGGTGGGATCTACCACAAGCAGCTGGGTAGCTGCCTTTGGGAGATGGTCTGCTTCCTGTATATAAGGAGAAGCCTTGAGAATGGTCTCTAGCCTATGGCACGTTTGGAGCCTCCATGTACCTGTACCATTGCTCAGCAGCCTGCTATGCTCTGCCGACCTTGGGACTTACAATGGACTTAAGTTAAAGGCCTGCCATGTGGTTTGGTAATACCAGGACGGTGCCTTTTTACTTGTCAACCTTGGGGCTTCTCAGCCTCAGCAGCCAGCAGCTGTCTGAGTGAAGAAATGCCTCTAGCTCCAGTGGGCCAGCAGTAGGAGGCAGAGCTGGATGCCAAGGTTAAGGGGCTTTCACCCAGCCCCTAGAGCCTGGCACTTTGAATTGGACTTAAAGCCTCCAAATTGTAAAAATAAATTTCTTTTTGTTAAGGCCATCCCATGTGTGGTATATTCCTTGTCAGAGCAGCACTAGGTAACCAGAACAGTGCCATAAGCTAGAGACCATTCCCAAAGCTGTTTGTTATATACAGGAAGAAGACCACATACCCAAAGCA